TGAGTACAAAAATACTCAATAAACAACTTATTTGTGGGTTCTTATCGCATCCTTATCTACAACTGTCTGAGCTTCCAGGAAGGTCTCGAAGTTTCGACCAGTTCTTTTACATGTCAAAGCTTATCAAGGTCTGAAAGCTATTCACCGAGTTCTAGTGTTATAGATCTTTTGGGCAACGAATCTAATATCAAAGTGAACAAACTTCATGTTCTCTTGCTTAGTACATTTACATACCCTTAATAGTGAATGATCGGTATCCTGAGTTAAGTTGCTACCTCGTCAAACATGTTAGGATAGGACATATAGACGGTATGAATATCATCTATGGAAGACTAGTTGGCAACCCTTCTACAAGGCGTGGAGACTTTGAATCTGGGGAGAAACTCCCGTATGCTGGCCAACTACTAGGTCTAGTCGTATGGTTTTATTCCCATTCTCAAGACTTACTTACGACGGCATGACCCTATCCAGAAGGTCCAAAATTTTTCCACACTCGCTAGGGGCACTCATCATCAACCAACTTAATTAGTCCCAAGTTCCCTCTCAGGATCAATTTATGGAATTGTGGCCTCAGCCTCTGTCCCGTTCCGACACTCAATAGAAGCAATCACCCTAAGCCATCTACCTGTGTAATCTCAAGTCTTTTCCAAGACCTATTTTTGGAATCGCAACCTCGGGCTTGACCCTCTTCTACACTCAATAGAAGTCCTCGTCTCAAGCTAACTATTCGTGTAGTCCCAACTACCTTTTCAAAACGGGTTTATAGAATTGCGACCTCAACCTTGACTCAACCCTACTCAATAGTAATTCAAGTGGCTTTGGGGTTCTTATGATACCATATGCATTGCTATTAAGTTTGTTAAGCTTTCTTAATCATTTAAAGATGTCGTGGAGGTTTACTAGGTTCTTAGGGGCATCTAGGCGATTTAGTCTTCATCTCATGTTTGATGCTCGGGGTTAGCTCCTTGAGGCTAATCCAATCTCTGGGTACACTCAGGTCCTTTGATTACCAGTCTACTAGAAATATGCTGATCTAGGTTAACGGGAAAACCTCCCTAACTTTAGTGTGGTATCTTAACTTGGTTCATTCATGCAAATGCAATAGGGAAATAACTTGCATCATCACCCGGAGCACAGATTACAACATCTCATCCTTCTTTCTAACATAGCGGAAAACATTAAAATAGGCACCCAACTTAAATTCTTATCCTACGGAAATTTCGATAATTGTTCATAAGATACATAACATTCTCATCAGAATTGTCCATTTATAATCCTAATCATACAAATTCTAACCACCTAAGGCAAGATATGCTAGCATGCTAGCACGTCCTAGCAATCCTTAGAAGTATAACTTGAGAAAGTTTTGAATGGTTGTTTACATGGATGTGTGCTTTCTCGAGCCAGCTTTTCTACGTGTTACGAGCTTCAAAATTTATGAGATTTCTTTAGTACGTTCAATACAAGTCATAATAAGGACAACATAGAAACCAAGAAGAAAAATCGATAAATTGAGGTCAAATAGGACAAATAAAGGGACTCATGCGCGGATGGAGATTCTCTCATGCACGAGTAAGGCAAACACCTACGAGAGGACACAACATCCTCGACTTGACACATGGCAATCAGCGATTTGCACATTCAACTCCTACATTTCAGGTTTGATTTCTAATGGGCATAAGGATCCCTCTAAATTTTTTCATTGTGTCACGTGAGTAGTTAAAGATCACTGTCCGAATCAGTAGAAATTGGTCGAATCCTCTAATTAGATGCATGGCAACAAGTGTCTCCGATAGGCGTTGAATGTGTAGCCCTTCTAGCTTTGCTACTCATATTCTCCTCTCGGTCAGTCGTGCAACTCCACCCTTTGCTTGACACGGGCCCAATCATTACCCAACCCACGTCATCTTCTACCTTGTACCTACCAATTTGATTTTCATTCAAGTAACTTAATTAACTTGGTTCCTTCATCAAAGTCGTAGTTTCTTAATCCACCTTTCCAACAAAGTTAATTCCATTCCATTTCGTTAACTATGGATAGAAATATACACATGCAATATCAATTCAAAATACGCTTAAAATTCTTGACAATCGTTGAAACTCATCTTTCTATTCCAATTCGACTAGACACTTCTTCATGAAAATGTGCAAAACCCTTTCTAAAACAACCTACTAAAATTTTAGAACATAACTATGAGAAAAATCTCTTGGATCTTTGGGAAAATAGAAACTAAAAACTCGAAACACTTACCTCTCGATCATCCTGGTTTCTTGATAGATTTAGATGATCCAAATACCGAGATTGAATGTCCTCAATCTTTTGAGCAACTTTCTTGAAGGAAGTTCGGTTGAAAAATGTCTCCTCGAACCCGATCGAAGCAAGTCCAACGGTTACTTTTTTTTTTTCTCCGGCTCTTTTAAAACCCGAGTATTTTTTTTTTTTCATTAACCCTCTAATTAGATCACTTTCATTTTTCTAACTAGGAAGGTAGGCATAAATGACCATAATACTTTATTATTGATTTTGACCACTTTTTCCAATTTTTTACCGTTTTTTTTTCTTTTTGAGTTACCGGGACCTTTTTAAGCATTTTTCCCTTTTACGCCATCATCAAATTATACCGGTAGGATCCTCAATAAAATTTTGGAAGTTTAAACTTAAAAAGAAAAATGGAGTATTTTGTGAGATCCCACAACGGTTGGGGAGGAGAATGAAACACCCCTTTATAAGAGTGTAGAAATCTCTCCCTAGGACGCGTTTTAAAAACCTTGAGGGTAAACTCGAAAGTAAAAGTTCAAATAGGACAATATCTACTAATGGTGGGTCTGGGCCGTTACAAATTGTAATAGAGCTAGACACCGAGTAATGTGCCAGCGAGGAGGTTGTTTCCTGAACGGGGTAGACACGAGGCGATGTGCCAGCGAGGAGGCTCGGCCCTAAAGGGGGGTGGATTGTGAGATCTCACATCAGTTGAAGAGGAGAACGAAACACCCTTTATAAGAGTGTGGAAACCTCTCCCTAACAGACGTGTTTTAAAAACCTTGAGGTAAGTCCGATGTGGGATCTTACAATATCTGCTAGCGGTGGGCTGATAGCAGTGAACACCTCTCCCTAGTAAACACGTTTTAAAAACCATGAGGTAAACTCGATGTGAGATCTCACAATATCTGCTAGCAGTGGGTTGATAGCAGTGGAAACCTCTCCCTAGTAGACACGTTTTAAAAGCCTTGAGGTAAGCCCGATGTGGGATCTCACAATATCTGCTAGCGGTGGGCTGATAGTACTGGAAACTTCTCCCTAGCAAACACATTTTAAAAACCTTGAGGTAAGCCCAATGTGGGATTTTTTAATATCTGGTAGCGGTGGGCTGATAGTAATGGAAATCTTTCCCTAGCAGACACGTTTTAAAAACTTTGATGTAAGCCCAATGTGGGATCTCTCAATATCTGCTAGCGGTAGGTTGATAGCAGTGGAAACCTCTACCTAGCAGACATGTTTTAAAAACTTTGAGGGAAGCCCGATGTGGGATCTCATAATATCTGTTAGCGGTGGACTGATAGCACTAGAAATCTCTCCCTAGCAGATGCATTTCAAAAACCTTGAGGTAACCCCGATGTGAGATCTCACAATATCTGCTAGCAGTGGGCAGATGGAAACCTCTCCCTATCTGACGCGTTTTAAAAACCTTGAGGTAAGCCCGATGTGAGATCTCATAATATCTGCTAGCGGTGGACTAATAGCGGTGGAAACCTCTCCCTAGCAGATGCATTTTAAAAACCTTGAGGTAAGCCCGATGTGGGATCTCACAATATCTGCTAGCGGTGGGCTGATAACAGTGAAAATCTCTCCCTAGCATATGCATTTTAAAAACCTTGATGTAAGCCCGATGTTGGATCTCACAATATATGCTAGCGATAGGCTAATAGCAATGGAAACCTATCCCTAGCAGATGCGTTTTAAAAACCTTAAGGTAAGTCCGATGTTGGATCTCACAATATCTTCTAGCGGTGGGCTAATAGCAGTAGAAGCCTCTCCCTATCAGTTACGTTTTAAAAACCTTGAGGTAAGCTCGATGTGGAATCTCACAATATCTGCGAGAGGTGGACTAATAGCAGTGGGCCTAGACCGTTGCGTATTTAATTCTGGTCATAGAATGTATCTTACACGTCAAGGGCTATAAATTTCTCAAATTCCATATAGAACAAATGTTAGAGCTCATAAATTACAACTTATTTCATTAATTTCTTCAACAAACCACATTTTTAGTAACTTTGGAAGTAAATAAAGTACCTTATTTTATGATATTTGGAATTTGCATAACATTTTACAGAGACTTTGAACAAAATTTAAGGCAACTAAGAAAGTTGGTGCTGCTCATTGTCTTGCTTGTGGAACTTCCAAACTGAAGCCATTATCCCATATGAAGTCCAATACTTAGGATCCTCACTTCTTTGTTCCTGCCATCAATCAAACAAACCCTAAAATTTTAATTTTTTGACTAAGTGTAAACAAAAGCCGATGAAAATGAACACGACACGCCTTTCTTTTTCATCTCTATCCTACGTTTAGATCTAAGGAATTTTTGGAATATCGCTTAGATGATAAATTATTTGGTGGCACTATATTCAAAAGCGATTCCATGAATTATAAACGGGTCATATATGTGAAAGATTTTTCGTTCAAATCACTCCATAAGTTATACTGAACTCGGAAGTAGAAGTTTAGCAACATTGCATTCTTGGTTGAAGTCTTTTCAATACACACTCATTCTATTCTAGTGACCTCTCGAAGACTTATCATAGGTGATGAACATACGATTAAGGGCAGTTTACGTGGAAAGAACTAACTAATTTATAGGAATAATCTTCAAAGAAAAAAAAAGGAGAGAACTCATGATATCATATGACATATTAGGTCACAAAAAATACAGAGAAACTTGAATCAGGATATCTTATGAACTATTAGGTCATAAAATATACAGAAAAACTCGAATCAGGATATCACACGACATATTAGGTCATAAAAGATACAAAGAAACTCGGGTCATAATATCATACGACATATTAGGTCACAAAAGATACAGAGAAACTCGAATCAGGATATCATACGACATATTAGGTCACAAAAGATCTAGAGAAACTTGAATCATGATATTACACGACATATTAAGTCACCAAAGATCTAGATAAACTTGAATCAGATATTACACAACATAGGTCACAAAAGATCTAGAGAAACTCGAATCATGATATCACACGACATATTAGGTCTCAAAAGATCTAGGGAAACTTGAATCATGATATTACACAACATAGGTCACAAAAGATACAGAGAAACTCGAATCATGATAGACACAACATATTAGGTCACAAAAGATATAGAGAAACTCAAATCATGATACCACACGAGATATTAGGTCACAAAAGATACAGAGAAACTCGAATCATGATATCACACGACATATTAGGTCACAAAAGATCTAATGAAACTTGAACCATGATATTACATAACATAGGTCACAAAAGATCTAGAGAAACTTGAATTGTGATATCACACGACATATTAGGTCACAAAAGATCTAGGGAAACTTGAATCATGATATTACATAACATAGATCACAAAAGATACAGAGAAACTCGAATCATGATACACACAACATATTAGGTCACAAAAGATATAGAGAAACTCAAATCATGATACCACACGAGATATTAGGTCACAAAAGATACAGAGAAACTCGAATCATGATATCACACGACATATTAGGTCACAAAAGATCTAATGAAACTTGAACCATGATATTACATAACATAGGTCACAAAAGATCTAGAGAAACTTGAATTGTGATATCACACGACATATTAGGTCACAAAAGATCTAGGGAAACTTGAATCATGATATTACATAACATAGATCACAAAAGATACAGAGAAACTCGAATCATGATACACACAACATATTAGGTCACAAAAGATATAGAGAAACTCAAATCATGATACCACACGAGATATTAGGTCACAAAAGATACAGAGAAACTCGAATCATGATACACACAACATATTAGGTCACAAAAGATATAGAGAAACTCAAATCATGATACCACACGAGATATTAGGTCACAAAAGATACAGAGAAACTCGAATCATGATATCACACGACATATTAGGTCACAAAAGATCTAATGAAACTTGAACCATGATATTACATAACATAGGTCACAAAAGATCTAGAGAAACTTGAATTGTGATATCACACGACATATTAGGTCACAAAAGATCTAGGGAAACTTGAATCATGATATTACATAACATAGATCACAAAAGATACAGAGAAACTCGAATCATGATACACACAACATATTAGGTCACAAAAGATATAGAGAAACTCAAATCATGATACCACACGAGATATTAGGTCACAAAAGATACAGAGAAACTCGAATCATGATATCACACGACATATTAGGTCACAAAAGATCTAATGAAACTTGAACCATGATATTACATAACATAGGTCACAAAAGATCTAGAGAAACTTGAATTGTGATATCACACGACATATTAGGTCACAAAAGATCTAGGGAAACTTGAATCATGATATTACATAACATAGGTCACAAAAGATACAGAGAAACTCGAATCATGATACACACAACATATTAGGTCACAAAAGATATAGAGAAACTCGATTCAAGATATCAAACGAGATATTAGGTCAGAAAAGAAACATAGAAGCTCGAATCATGATATCACACAACATATTAGTCACAAAAGATGTAGAGAACTCGAATCATGATATCACACAGTATAGGTCACAAAAGATACAGAGAAACTCAAATCATGATATCATACAACATATTAGGTTAGAAAAGAACTAGAGAAACTCAAATCATGATATCACACAATATATTAGTTCATAAAAGATAAAGAGAAACTTGAATCATGATATCAAACAACATATTAGCTCACAAAAGATATTGAAACTCAACTCATAATATCACACTATATATTAGGTCACAAAAGATACAGAGAAACTCAAATCATGATATCACACAACGTATTAAGTCACAAACGATACAAAAAAAACTCGAATCATGATATCACACGACATATTAGGTCACAAAAGACACAGAAAAACTTGAATCAAGATATCCCCCGACGTATTAAGTCACAAACGATATAGAGAAACTTGAATCAAGATATCTCACGACATATTAGCTCACAAAAGATACAGAGAAATTCAGCTCATAAGATCACACAACCAGAATTCTCAAACTCATGATATTACACGACATATTATGACATAAAAGATGCAGGAAAACTCAATCCATGATACCACACCATATATTAGGTCACTTAAGATATAAGGAAATCTCGAAAACACCAAGTGTTCTATACGAATTCTCAAATCTAATCCAAATCTTAGGTAGAAATCGTTACAAACAGACATAAATTCTCCAATAAAATTGAAAACTTACCCATCAAAATTTCATAAACAAAAACGAACAGTAAAATCTTACATTTCGCCTAGGGTTACACCTCGGGATTTTGAGAATCTTGAATTCATTTGGTCGATCTTGAAGATAATCTTTGAGCTTCTCATCATTCATGGAATCCACCATTTTTATCTTCAAATCACAAAGCTTTGTATTCAATGAAAAACACACATCAAAATCAAATGGAATAGAGAAGAGAATGAAAAATGATACCCAATTTGTAAGTTGATCCAAGTCTTTATGGAGTTGAAGTTCTTCTTTATCTATCAGTTCTTTCTTCTCCTCCCATGGAATAAAATTGGTGTTCTTCAACTTCTTCCTTATCCTCTTCTCCATCTCTAAAACTCCACTTTTCTCTTCTTTCTTCATCTCTTTTTACACTAAAAAAAAATTGGAATTGAAACTTAAATTTTAAAGTAAGTAAATAATGCATATAAAATGGAGCTTCACACACTTGTAATCATGATATTCACAATGTATACGTTAAAGTTTGTTCTCTTTAATTTGGATCCATTCTTCTTGTTAAAAGATATTCAAATCTGTTTTCACACTTTGTCGTTTTGTTCGATGATGATAATCTTGTTGGGATTTGGACCCTGATGCGGTAACAGATCCAGTAGAAATATATATGGTAAATATTTCGTAAAGATCCGGGATGATGATAATCTTATTGAGATATGGAGACTGATGTAGTAAAAGAATATATATGGTAGATATTTCGTAAAGATCCAGTTTTGATAGTCTTCTTGGGATATAGCCCCTGTCATAGTAAAAGATCTACTAGAAATATATATGGTAGATATTTGGTAAAGATTAGAGATATATATGATAGATATTCAGTAAACATTTGATAGAGATATATTTGGAATAGACAGTAGATTAAATCTGTTAAACCTATATTTAGTAAACGGAAATCATATATATACCCTTTACTAGGCTTGCATTGCAATCAGTATTTCTATTCATTCCATATATTGTTTGTGTTGTGTTATTATATACTTGAAGTCAACAATAAAAACCTAAGTCAATATTTCTCATTGAATTTTCTCTCTCCTTAGTGTGTGCATTGCTGAGCAATCCTACCAAATCTCTTTCAATTTTGAGCTATAAAAATTCTTATAAATATCGGGTTTTCTTTAATTTTGCATAATAAAAAGCTCTTTTTAGTATCGGAAACAATTGGGTTAATTCGAATGGGACTGGTTGCTAACCCTTTGTCGTAAAGGAAAAGCGGGGTCGATCCTGTCTGGAATTGTTCGTTGGTTTTATTGATGTTTTGGTAAGAAAAAAAAAAAGAATATGAATTTCACATAATTTTGAACATTTTTATGCCAATTAAGAACTTGGCATTTTTTGAAAAGTTTGGTATAATTGTGATGATTAAGTTACCACAATTGGAAATGAGTAATCTACCTTACTATCTTTTACTTCATACCAAAGAATTATTAATTGGGCGACTTTGTCTACCTCCCTAATTAATGTGATATATGAATACACTATAAAACATGTGAGGTGAGAGATTCAAACGTTACAAATTTTAGTCAAGAGTATGAGTGGTAGTTTGCTGAACTATATTCAAATTTGTTGATTTCAATTATTTCTTGCAAGCTACTTTTAGAGGTTGAATGATGTGAGATTCTATATATATATTGGAGAGGAGAACAAAGCATTTCTTATAAGGGTGTGAACACCTAACCCGAACAGATGCGTTTTAAAATTGTGAGGCTGTTGTAATACGTAACGGGCTCAGGCGGGCAATATCTCCTAGCGGTAGGTTTGGCTATTACAAATGATATCAAAGCTAGACATCGAGCAGTGTGCCAACGAGGACGCTGGCCCCCAAGAGAGGAAGGATTGTACACTGGCCCCCAAAAAGGTGGATTGTAAGATCTAAACATTCCTTAGCGGACAATATGTTATTGAAGGTTAGATATTGGGTTTGGGTTTTTACAAATTATGTATCAAAGCTAGACACTGGGCGGTTTGCCAGCGAGTATGCTAGGTGTCACAATCACGGTTTCTAGGCAGCGGATTTGGCGATTGTGCGGCACCCACTCTCAGCACTGAGTGGGTTAAGCCTACTTCGAATTACGTTGCCTGTGGTCAGGCAACGTGAATACAAATCTTGGGTCCCGATTTCAAGAGAAGATTTTAGAAAGCTAGGGAGAGAAGTTTTAGAAAAAGAGTTTTGAGAGAGAGAGAGAGAGAGGTTATATGGGAACTTAAACAAAAAGCCAACAAGAATGGCTTACTGCATATAAATTATCGGGTAGGGAGTAGTTAACAACTAGTTGTATCCCCTATAGTATATTTTGAGGCATTTCATGTCTACCAGGCGTAGCCATGACATCGCCGAAACGTCATACTCTTAAAGAAAATAAGAAAGAAATAATACAACATGAAAGCGGTAAAAGAAAGCAATAAAGTAGTACAAGGCAAAGGTTTCAGCATGTCACGGGCATGCGGCCATGGGCGACATGCCTTGGACAGGCATGACCGTGACATCTTTCCCCACTTAATTGGCTGACGTCCCTGTCAACCGTCTCATCTCTTCGAATTCTGCAATCTACGGTGTGGCTGTCTTCAGGTCATCGGCAATGTTCCCGGCTGATTTCTTCTTCTGGAAGTCCTTTCCACTTGACTAAAAATTCCTGTAAGTTACGCTAAGGTTTGCCAATGCGACGAGTTCGCTCGGCCAAGATCTCTTCTACTTCCTTCTTACTCGAGTCCTTCATCGTTATTGATGGTCGTGTCACTTGGTTGCGCTGCTGGTCGTCGTCGTCTGGATGGTATGGTTTGAGGTTGCTTACATGGATGAAAATACATGGATGACAGGGTGAATTTTCATCCATGTAGGTAGTTGGAGACGGTATGAAGTGCTTCCGACTTTCTCAATGACATCAATTGGTCCCTCATATTTTCGCACTAGTCGCTGGTCCCGATTCCCCCGGAATCTAAATTGTCCTAATCTCAGCTTGAATATTACTTGGTCATCAGCTTGGAACTCTAATGCTTTTCGTTTGCGGTCTGCCCACTTCTTCATTCTTCTAGAGGCTCTCTCTAAGTACGCTCATGCTATTTCGGAGGTATGCTTCCACTCTTTGGTGAAGTTGTACACTTGAGGGCTTCTCCCTGCATAAGGGTGGTCAATGACATGGGGCATGAGTGGTTGCCTGCCACATACTATTTCAAAAGGGGTTTTCCGTGTCGACGAGCTTTGGTAATTGAAGCTAAACTGAGCAACATCGAGCATCTGAACCCAATTCTTCTGCTGCGCATCAATAAAATGACGTAAGAACTCCTCAAGCATATTGTTGAACCTTTTTGTTTGTCCGTCAGTTTAGGGGTGGTAACTCGAAGAAACGTTTAGGCTCAACCTCAATAGCTTGAACAATTCAGTCCAGAAGGTCCCTGTGAATCTCGAATCACGATCGCTGACAATGCTGGTGGGAATGCCCCACAACTTGACTACATGTCGGAAAAATAATTGTGCGGTCGCTTCGGCCGCACATGACTTGCGAGTTGGGATAAACGTGGCATATTTAAAAAATCTGTCAATGATGACCAAGATCGACTCCATTTCTCCTACCTTGGGGAGGTGTGTAATGAAATCCAGAGAAACACTTTCTCATAGTCGAGACAGGACCAGTAGAGGTTCTAGTAGTCCCGCAATTTTGTTTTCACACAACCTTGTCTTGTTGGCAGATAAGGCAGGTCTTTGTGAATTGTATCGCATCGTCGTGGAGGTTCGGCCAATAGTACCCCTTTTTAGGAGGGCATAGGTTATTTGCCACCCGTTGTGGCCTGCCCATGGTGTGTCGTGGCATTCTTTTAGTAGGAGTCTCCTCAAGTTTCCCGAACGGGGGACGTAAAGACGATTTGCTTTGGTGAAGAGTAAATTGTCTTCGACCCAAAATTAGCGTCTTCCCCTCTCTAGCTAGCTGCATGATGGCCTGAGCAACCGGGTCTTTGACTAGGTGTTCCTCGATACTTTCCTGTATCGTTCCGCTCAACTTACTTTCTTGTAGGTGGACCAACATGCACAGGGTCACATGTTCGCTCTTTCGACTTAGGGCGTCTGCAGCTTGATTTGCTTTACCTGGCCTGTGTTCGAACTAAAAGTCAAATTCAGCCATGCATTCTTGTCAACACGCTTGCTTCGACGATAACTTGGGTTGATCAAAGAAGTGACATATGGAGCTGTTGTCTGTCTTGACTACATACTTGGCTCCGAGGAGATACGGTCTCCAAGATCGTAAACAATTGACCACTGCCAGCATTTCTTTCTCGGACGCTGCGTACCTTCTTTCTACATCGTTTAGCTTCCGACTCTCGTATGCAATGGTGTGTCCCTCCTGCAGTAAGACGCCCCCTAGGGCAAAGTCTGAGGCATCCGTCTCAACTTTGAAAGATTTCGTCACATCGACAATCCCTAAAACTGGCCCTTCCATCACGGCGTTCTTAAGGTTGTCAAAGGCTT